GTACTCGGATGCGGGAGTTACACTTAAATATTTACAGGTGCTTACGTATTCATATGTTATTTAGTAACCTATTATCACACTGGAGGGCGGAAATATAGCGCTGATCGCTTTGAAATGTTCCATGAGGTTCCAGTTATGGTCAAGGACAACGCTTAAAATGTTAGGTGATGATCAGATAATATTCTTCGGATGAAGTGGACCGAAAACTTAATTATTTGTACTTTTCGAGTCGAAAGCCGAACATCACCACACAACCCACGGTGAAGGGAATCTGGACAAGTAATTAGAGGTGCTGTACTGATTATTAGTAACATTTGCTGACCTCTATCCAGTCAAAAGTGTGCAAATATTGCGAAATATTGCCCAATCTAAGAATATAGAACCACAGAAAGTAAAATTTTCATGGAAGTTGTGTAGGGTATCGTATGGTCGGCCCCGTCCGACTATACTGCTCCGCGCACTGGTTTTTCTTTTAATTGGTGTGGCGCCCAAACATCAAGCTTCTCAACTTCGATCATTTCTCCGATTTTATCATTACATTTTCATAATGGATTTCTTTTTCGCCAACCTAATAATACTTCCAGATTTTTAGTACTTAAAATATTTAACGCGAAGGAAAAGATCGAGAACAAAAATTAAAGGTTATGTTTGAAAATGAGTTTTATCGGCCCACATATAAACATCGCCCATCGGAAATACCGACAATTGATACCTCTCACTTTTCGGTATTTCCTACAAGAGGTAATCAACCATGCCATGCGTTATCAGTATCGGTCCAAGCTTTGGGGTTTTGAACCTGTAGGGGAACAAGTTATAAATATCTGAAATTCTGAATGTATTACGTGTGCATTGTGGTTTACAACATTAGTTTAGCAAAGTCGCCCAAGTTTTGGCATATCCCATATATAATGATTACGCTTATTATTTATTACATCAGAACTGGCGACAGAATAATATTGTTCATCGTGGGGAAATTTTATTGCAAATAAATGTCACTGGGGGATTTAGCATTTCTGGTCGTTAGTAGTTTCCACGACATCATTGGAGAATATAGTTTTTAGGCATGTATCAAAAAGTTTGCCAAGACCGAACTTTTCAGTTCTTTGACTTTTTTCAAATTGTTTTTATACAAGAATACCACCGATGTACATTTTAGTTCTATTCTAATCAGGTGGTCGGAAGATACATTCATAGGTGGCGTTTGAAAATATATTCCTATTTCCAGCGAAAATTTTTAAATTTATTTGCTATTACGTGACCTTAAAAAATAAACAAAGACCTCAGCAACTCCCACTCAACAAATAGTATTTGATCCTTTTCAATTAGACTTCAAAAGTTACGAAATTTAATGGCAATTTTACAAAAAAAATGAAAGAATATCTTTTATTTTCAACCTAACCAATAAATTTTAAATAAGGCAATTCATATTTTTTCTCTCTTATCAACAAATTCAAATTCTATTGTTTTTTTATATTTCCCATCGACAATAAAGGAAAAAACCTATAAACCAACCAAAGGACATTTAATACCCGAAACAAAAAAAAACTTGTTGAACTTGAAAAGAAAAAAAGAAGAAATAAATCTAAAGGGAATGTCGATAAAGATGCGACGTGCAGAAATTAAAAGCAACCAAATGAATGCAAGACAAAATTACGTGGAAAAAAATTGGAACAAATAAAACAAAAGAAAGAACAACAAAAAAAGATACAAAAACAAACTGAATGGTCTATCTGTATGGCTGTCTGTCTGTCTGCGGCTATGACAAATTGTCAATTTGTTTGTCGACCATTCTGTCGGTCATATATCAACATTAATATTATGAACTGCCATTTAATTCCCCGAACAATCTGTCAATAAAAATAAAAAATAATAACGGGAGAGTGGACGGCAAAACTTTATTTACGTATGTTTTTTGTTATTGTTTTCTTGTTTGTCGTCGCCGCTAGGTAGACAAGAAAAGAATCAAAAAACCTCAATAATTTGCCAGACCACCTAACACACAGCCACACACGCACATCCACCCAAATTAAATTTAATATCAGATTTAAAGGAATTTGGTCAGAAAAATTATAAAAATTAAATTAATAAATATTTATTGAGTATGAAAGCGAATTGAAAAAGGAATTTTGTGTAGAAAATATCAATATTTTAAAATCCCTTTACATACCAGCATTGAATTAAACTGGGTCGACTATATGATACCCTTCACCATTTTGGATATATTCTACATATGTATCCCAACATGAAATAAAACGAACTTAAATATGCGATCTTCATCTATAAGTAAACCGACTAACGTCAAACCACAAACAACAGTCCTTTCTGCAATCTATGCTAAATTTCATTTAATTTCGGGCAGATTTAGAGTCGTTTGTGCTGAATGAGACTAATCGATTTAAAGCAAACTTTTTACCAGTGTTCGCAAAAAACGGTACACTATCGTAGTGTACCAAGAACACAAACACTAAAAAAAAATTAGCGTTAGTGTTCCGGTACACAAAAATTAAAAAATATTTTAGTGTTACTGTTCCGGAGCACAACGAAATTCGTAGTGTACCGCTGTCGGAGCACAACGAAATTCGTAGTGTACCGCTGTCGGAGCACTAAAAATCGTTGTGTACCACGGTCGGAGCACTAAAAGTCGTAGTGTACCGCGGTCGGAACACTAAAAATCGTAGTGTACCGCGGTCGGAACACTAAAAAATCGTAGTGTTCCACTGGCCGGAACACTAAAAATAGTAGTGTTCCATTTGGCGGAACACTAAAAATCGTAGTGCTCCACTTGTCGGATCACTTAAAATCGTAGTGTTCCATTTGTCGGAACACAAAAAGATGTATTTATTATCTTTTATTTTTTGTATGATTTTTTGTAGATTTAATAAATATAATAACTATTTAAATTTGTATTTGTTTATATTTTATTAAAAATTAGTAATATTATATTAGCATCAACAGTAGCTGAAAATTCCATTGGATTGCATTTTGGCTAATAATCGATTGTGCTGATCGGAAAAACTACGATTTTTAGTGTTCCGGCAAGTGGAACACTAAGATTTTTAGTGTTCCGACCAGTGTAACACAACGATTTTTAATGTACCCCAGTCGGTACACTACGATTTTTAGTGTACCACCGCCGGTACACTATGATTTTTAGTGTACCGACATCGATTTTTTAGTGTACCGCAGCAGGTACGCTAAGATTTTCGTTGTGCTCCGGAACAGTAACGCTAAAAATATTTGTAGTGTTTGTGTACCGGTACGGTACGTTATTTTAGAGTACCTATCCACCTTGGTACGGTACAGGACACTATGGAACGGTACCATAATGTTTATTTTCGAACGCTGCTTTTTACACGCTATTCAGTATGGCGCACTGTTCAAAATTTAATCCCAATCAGAGACCGTTAGAAATATGTATATATGGATGCTATGTCTGCATCTGCTCCACTTTCATCAAAACGCAATAACGCCATTCTAATCTCAGTTTGATACGTTGTGAAAAATTCCGGGTCTTAATCTGAACCGATTTTCACGAAATAAGTTTAGATTAGTTCGAATTGGTCATCTTTGGCACGAATTATGGCATTCAAACGGCCAATGAAACCGTCACACGCTGCCCGAATGTAGCTTTTAGCGGTATTTTGGCCCATTCCCGGCGATGCGTTTGCTTCAGGTGATCGACACTTTGGTATTTTTTAGTGCCAACCTTGCATTCCAAAATACTCCAGACACTATAGTCCAACGGAATGGTATCCGGAGAAGCGAGGAAATGGAAATGAAACGAGGAACCTCATTTTGTAACCATTCGTGGGTGGCGCGTACTGAGTACGATGGAGCTGATGCTATTTGCGTGCCCAAGGTTTTAATATACCCTCCAGAATATTTTCGCAATAATATTCGGCATTTATTCTGATGCCACGGTCGATTAATACGAGCGGACCATCGGCTGTTATGGCGGCTCACACCATCACCATGGGCGGCGCTTGATTTCTGACCTCTTTGGCAAGTAAACACGATCATTTTATTGGTTTGCAAACTGCTGGACAACGAAAGTTTTCTCATCGGAGAAAACAAAATTCGGCAGTTCACAACTTTCAGCCAAGCGAAGCAACTCTTTAGCTCTTTCGAGTCTATTTCCTTTCTGTTGCGATGTAAGTTCTTGCACTTATTGGAATTTCGAAGGCTTTACCTCATTTTTCAATATTTACCGAATGGAATATTGCGATATGTTTAGCTTACGAGTTATTTTTCGGCCACTGCGACGCGGGTTTCGATCAAGTCGATTCTTTACTTTTCGAACCATTTCTGCTGATGTTGCTGTTTTCTTCCGTCTACTTCCTTGACGTCGGGCTACGCTACCAGCATCACGGTAACGAACTATGGTACGAACACAACAGATGTATTCACATTTAAATGATGGACTGCTCTAACGATGGCGCTATTAGAACAATTAAAGTTCTCAATGACGCCATTCTTAAGTCCGGACAATATTTAGTCGCCTTATGCCTTTTTTTCTTCCAAAAGTATTTTATATATTAGCGATAAGCTATTTTCAATGGCTTTGTGGGCTCCTTCAAAGATTCTTTGTCTGCTTCAAAATGATCTTCCGATCAACTTCAAAATATGAAGTCATATTGCATATGCATAGCATAAGTAGGTATTTAGGCGGAAAAATCACAAATAGTCAAAACAAAATTATATTTTTATATATTCATATATAACATAAGTGCCAGGTATTTAGGTGTTCCTCAAAAAATCACAAATAGTCAAAATCACAAATAGTCAAATTCTAATTTTCAAACGTTTTTGTCAGTCATTGACACTTTCGATTAATTATCTCCCGTCACTTATTTCATTTATTCCTCCACCGCCTCCTTAAAAAAAACGAAACGAAAATTGACACTTGTAGCATACAAAAGAAGCATTAAGTTATTAATGTTCCAAAATGCATTCGCCAAAGAACGGACCACACATAACTCTCTATCTCTTCTTATTTGCAGTTATGTCGCCGATGCTGGTGCCCGCAGTATTTTGGTCTACGATATCACTGGTGCCAAATCGTATCGCATTGTTCTACCCAAAGCCACATGCCCCACCAATGATGTCCTCTATATAGCCTTGGCCGCCCAGGCTGATGGCACATCGACACTCTTCTTCACGTATCTCAGCTCGTCGCGCCTCTACTCCATCAAGGGTGAATATTTGCGCGTTGGCCAGGGTGCTGGGTCCATTGTGGATGTCGGTGCTAAGCCGTATGGCAAGCAAATGGTTTTGCTGGGAGCAGATGGTGGCAATTCATTGTTCTTCCGTTACAAAGGAGAAAATGACATCTACATGTGGGATTCGGAGACATGCTTTAAGCCGGCAAATCTTCAGGAAGTCCAGCGAGGTGGCGATTGTCGTTTATCAACACAGGTATGTAGTGCGTGTGTGTATGTGTGAATAAATATTAGAGTGTCCCCCATGAAATGGATTTACTATTAAACCAAAATTATTAAAATTAATGTTGAGCGCCAATATCTATAGAATTCAATAAGTTAAATGTTTTTCTTAAATTAACACACTTATCTTATTTTATTGATAAATTTATTTTCAATAAGTTGTCAATATCCTCAACAACCATCTAATACTAGCCTTTCGTTATCCAAACAACATTGTGGTAATATCGACAATGTACATGTGTTCATATATGGGTTATACAAATTTGTTGAGAGGATAGAAACGAAAAAGCACCTCTAACAGCATGTATTCCAAGTATCCTTGTTGTTATGCAATTTTTTCATTTGTTTGTTATTTTTTTTTCTTTTACTATTCTACATCTCTTTAATTACAGGTCCTGCCTGGCCATAAACGTTTCATGTGGGCTTTGGAAAGTAATTTCCATGATTTTATATCTGAGCGTACTGGCTGTAATGGGGCTTCAATTATTCTGCATCCGGTTGTACGCGAATGTGATGATTAAATGCCGTTCAGTAGCTGCTTTTTCACTAAAGGCTACATGGATAATTTATTGTATATGAGAGCGGGCGATCGCACACACACACACACACGAAACAATATATCTGCACCAAACAAACTTCATACTATCGCATATGTATGTACTCGCACATACACATGTTGTATAGATTCGTATTCGTGTATTGCATTTGATTTAAGCCAATTAATTTTACATCAATTTAAAGCATACTTTAAGGAGTTAAATAAAATTTGTAATAAATAAAATATATTTTAAGGAGTTCCGTCTTATTCATTTTATAACACAAGTACATAGTTTACAGTGAATGTACGGGAGAAAAAAGGGTATATTTCAAGTACTTCGAAACATTTTAAATGGGCCAAAACATTTTAATGGGCATATAACACAAAATGAATTTCAGGACTTTATTATCGCACATGCCACAATAACCAGAATGTTTTTGGTTCAAAAACTATTTTCGTATTTTTATCAACCAATACAGACGACTTTACGTTGGGCGCCAATATCTATACCGGACATTATAATCTTCCTAAAAAAGATCATAAGGCTTATACCAGTACATCTTACTTTAGGTTATCAGTGCGGAATATATCAGAGCAAAAGAATAACATGGTGTTTCTCTCGATACGTCGAAGACTTAGATTATGCGGGTGATATCTGTCTTTTCACACACACTCACAAGATATTCATGCAGTTAAAACAATTGGAAAACAATTGCAGAAAACATCGGAAAATCTGGAAAGACTAATATCAAGAAAAACAAATAAAAAATGTCACTCAGTGTTTTGATATGTATATATATATAGCCGATGAGGTCTTCGAAATTACACGAAGGTTTTATTATTCACTTGAGTAACGTGGGGAATGATAGATACCATGCTGATTGACTTTAAATTGCAAAGCACAGGCTTATCTTGGCCTCTCTTTCATATCAATTGCGGACACTGACCTCTCAGCGGTGTCACCTGGGGTAGCTACTTTCATCAATTCAATTTGATTTCATGAGAAATCAAATTGACCATGTTGTGGTAGACGGAAAGCATTCGTCCAGTGTTTTAGAGTTCGATCGATACGAGGAGAGAATATCGATTCGGACCATTACCTTGTGGCCAATGTCCGCACCCATCATAATGTAGCTGCAAAGGTGCGATTTAATGTAACACTGAAACTCGACGTTGAAAGCTACAAACACAACAGGTATCAGAAGCCTACTCCGCTCAACTTACCCACCTTATTGACGAAAGCACTCTAGTCACGTTAACAATATAGAATCATGGCAAAGAATTGCTCACTCCCTACAAACTGCAGCAAAAGCAACACTTGGGTACCAAAAATCAACATCGAGAAACCAATGGTACGATCATGAGTGTCGTAATGCTACTGAGTGAAAAACGCAACCGTAGGGCAACCCTGCAAACAGTAGCAACACGCAGTGCGAGAGACAATTATCGGGAGAAAAGAAGAGAGGAGAAACATATTTTCAGAAGAAAAGAAGGAAGAACAAGAAAACCATGAGCGTGAGCAAATCGATATATACAGGAGTCAGAATGAGCTCTGGAAATTTGTACAACAAGAAAAAAAGCCAAACCGAAGGCTTTGGGGCAGGCACATAGGGATGAAGAAGGAAACCTGTTAAATGATACATACTGTGTGTTAAGTATCTGCCAGGAACATGTTGCAAAGCTTCCAGTATCAACGAGTGACGATGAAGAAAGATATGACGGTTTAGATTCTATACCATCTAGCCAAGATGAGGTTAGAATAGCAATTAATCGTATGAAAAATAATAAAGCTGGCGGTACCGATGGATTGCCAGCCGAGACAAGGAGACAAGACGATATGTGCCAACTATAGAGGAATAAGTCTCCTTCCCATCACATATAAAGTGTTATCCAGCGTGTCCTTCCTCTACTGCGTGAACCTTTTGGGCTGCGGCATCTTCATCTATTCTCTCAACATGACCTAGCCAACGAAGTAACTGCAGCTCGATACGTCTGACTATGTCGATGTCCGATAATTATGAAAAATCTATAGGCAGATCGGCCTATAGATCTTTCGGAGAAATTTTCTCTGCTTGCGCAAGTACCCACGCTTCAGGTCCATACTTAGACCATAGTAGCATCTGTTGGCCAACACTATTCTTCTCCGAATTTCAAAGCTGATGTTATTAGTTTTGTTTATGGTGGTACCATAAATAAAATTGTTCACAACCTCGAAGCTGTAGTTTTCAAGTTCCACAGTTGGTCCGAATCTACTGGACGTCTTGCGCGTTGATACCATCTGTTTGATCTTCTCGCCATTTACTTCCAACCCCACTTCTCAATTCGTTCAAAGGTGGCTGTAATGTACACCCATTATGTCGATGTTAAAAAGATCACAAACTGTCACCTTGTCTGAATCCGAGAGGTCATTTCCGACTTTAACTGCTGACCTTATACCAGTTAAAGTTATCCTGCCAAGCCGTATTAATTTTGCAGGAATGCCGAACGCAGACATGGCTTTAAACACCTCTGAGCGGATTGGACTGTCGAATGCGGCTTTATAGTGGACGAATAGGTGGAATGTGTCGTTATGCTTTCGCTGGCCTTTTCCAGGATTTGATGCAGTGTGAAAATCTGGTCTATAGTGGATTGGTCAGGTCTGAAGACGCATTGATAAGATCCAATAGTGCTGGATAGCACTTTATATGCGAAGAGGAGACAAATTCCCCTATAGTTGTCTCATATCGGATGCTGAGGTTCCAATCTTTTGGCACGCATTCCAAATTGTTCTACTCAGTAGATGCATGCTCCTGATCAGCGTCTGACCACCGGTAACCCATCGGCACCTGCTGCTTTATTATTCTTCAGCCGATAGATTGCTACTCTGGCCTCATCTTAGCTAGGTGGTATACACTCTATACCGTCACCTCTTTTTGGTTCTGAGATATCATCTTCGCCGCTATTATTTGATACCGGAAGCTTTGCAACAACATATTATATTCGGGACATATTATTATCGTGACAAGGATTGGATCAGTATCTGTCTGTCCCATGGTACGACACTCCTGATCGTACTATGGGTTTCTTGGTGGTGGTCTTTGGTACCCAAGATTTTGCTGCAGTTTGTAGGGAGTGGGCAATTCTTTGCCATTATCGGGACAAGGAGTGCAGGTGGGTAAGTTGAGCGGAGTAGGCTTCTGCTACATGTTGGGTTTGCAGCTTTTCGACGTCGCACAGAAGGTTAGAATAGCCTGTTTTTTTGGATTAATTAAAAAAAAATAAGTATCATTAACTTTTTTGCACCCGGTTACAGTATATAAAATTATACATCACTTGCGTTAAAATAAATGTCAAAAGTGGTCTGGTGTTAATGTAGAGAAACTTCAAAGTCAAAATTCATAGAAATTTTTGTGCAAAAAAGTCTGAAAAAAGTGAAAACGTTCCCGTTTGAAGATTCTACTTATTTTAAAAAGTACAGGGTGGCCCAAAAAAGACTGAAGGATTAAAAATGGTTATATCTTTTTTGTTTTCAATATTTTTTTTTTGTCTTTTGCTGGTTATTTACTGGTTTTTGGAGAAAAATCGTGGCTACATATGATGTCCAGAAACGCGTCAAAATCATTGATTTTTTTAAACCCTTTACCACACTGTGGTACAGGGTATTATGTCTTTGTGCATATGTTTGTAACAGGCAAAAGGAAACGAGATAGACACATGGTTCATTTAGAGAATGTGCATAGAATCACTTTCTGAGTTGAATTATGCATATCCGTCCGTCTGTCTGTCTGTCCATGTTAAATTATAAACAAAGTACAGGTCGCAATTATGATTCGATTTGGATGAAATTTGGCACAGCTCAATTATTTGGGCCAAGGACGAACCCTATTGAAATTGAAGAAAATCGGTTCAGATTTAAATATATATTCCATATATATTTTCGTCATATTTAATATAAATGGTGTACCAATGTCCGATTTTCCGATTTGCACGAAATTTCGCATAGTGTACTGAATTGAGTCTAGAATGATGTGTGTAAAATTTCTTAAAAATCGTTTCAGATTTAGATATAGCTTACATATATATGTTCGACCGATTTAATGTAAATGGTTCACCAAAGTCACTTTATATATTTTTCGATTTCCACGAAATTTGGCATAGCGTACTGAAATAAGTCGAGAACGACGTGTGCTAAGTTTCGTGAAAATCTGTTCATTTACATAAAAATAATCGTCCGATTTTATGTAAATGGTACACCAACGTCCCAATATATCCCTCGATTTGCACGAAATTTGGCATAGCGTACTGAATTAAGTCTAGAAAGATGTGAGTTAAATTTCGTGAAAATCAATTGAGATTTAGATATAGCTAACATATATATTTTCATTCAAATTTAGGTAAATGAAATAAGTTTAACTTTACATGTGACAAGTTTCGATGTAATCGGTTTAGATTTCGATATTTTGCTTTAAATTTGTATACCCTACACAACTATGTTGTCAGGGTATTATAGCTTTGTGCAGGCCCAAAAGTTTGTAACGCCGCGAAATATTGGTCCTAGGCCCACCTTTAAGTCTACCGATCGTCATATCTCGGCTAGCTGAGTCGATCTAGACATGTGTGTCCGTCCGTCTGTCCATTATAATTTGTAAATATTTACAGGTGACTCCGTATTCGTATATTATTTAATAACCCATTATAACTCTAGAGAGCGGAACTATATCGCTAATCGCTTTAAAATGTTCCATGAGGTTCCAGTTATGGTCAAGGACAATGCCTATAATTTTTGGTGATGATCAGATAATAATTTTCGAATGAAGTGGACCGAAAACTTAATTTTTTGTGTTATTTTCTAGTCGATCTATAGACCACAAATGAAAGCCGAGCAGCACAACACAACCCACGGTGAAGGGAATCTGGACAATAGCTGTACTGAATACTCGTAATATTCGGAAAATATGTCAGTGTGAGGAAGAGGAGCTGTTTACCTCTAATCGGGCAAGAGGGTGCAAATATCACGAAATATTGCCCAGGCTCGGAATAAACATCCGCAGAAAATTTAAGTTCTGTGGTAGTTGTGTAGGGTATCGTATGGTCGGCCCCGTCCGACTATACTGCTCCGCTCCCTGGTTTTACATAATTTTGTCCCATTGTAAGAAGCAACTCTATATCTGATCAGAATTTAGTAAAGGTTGCAGAATTACAAGTTTAATTTCATTCTATCTGTTGAATATACCCAAAGTGGTGAAGGGTATCATATAGTCGACCCCGTCCGACTTTACTACTTTCCTTACTGGTTTTATTAGCCTTTTCTATAGATACAAGTTAGAACTTTGTTTTTTTATAATCGTCGAAGCTTATGATGAATTCAAGCGCATAAACAATGAATGAGAAGATGACATTTTAGCTGAAGAAATCAATAAACGCACCAAAACGCTAAAAATCTGCCGAAATAACAAAAATATACAGTACTGTTCGAAACCCAAGCAACTTTTTCTTAGTACGTAGTCATGGTCTTATATGATATCGTTAAATTGATTTATAAAAAAAATATATATTTTATTTACTATTCTACTATGTGTCTATAATCTGAAAATAACAACAAATTTAAATTATATTTCTTTGGAAAAAAAATAAAGAAATGAAAACAAAATTAACTCACAAAGCATCTGTTCGAAACCTAAGCAACTTTCAATATTTCGTATGATACCCGTTATTTTTTATCACTGCCGCACATCTTTTTGGCATTGATTCTATGAGATTTGTTAGAATTGTTGTTGGTATAGCTTCCCACTCTGATTTTAAGCAGTTCATTAGTTCCTATCTGTTTTTAAGGCGACGTGTTCCAATCCTTCGTTTTAAAATGCTGAAAAGGTTCTCAATGGGATTGAGGTCTGGTGACAAGTTTTGCAAGGAAGTGTTATACTCATTTACAACCTCATATTGGGTATTACAGCTTAGCCAGCTGTTAAAAAGACTTAAAATCGGCCGATATTTTAGGTTCTTAAAATCAAACGTTGTATTTAAGATAGGTCTTACGATTGCAACAGGCAGACGATGGATTTCGTTACAAGTTCATAAGTTTTACAGTTCATAATAAAATTCCCATAAGCAGTGAACATGTTAACTAGTTGTAATTTCTATCGTCTATTTTCTTTAAAAAATCGAAACATACAAATTCGCTATGATATAGAGATTATTGAAATTCGTAAAAGTAAAAAATGTTTCGCTTATGATGAGTTCAGATAACTGAAATTATTTTCTGTTCAAAAATCCAAAAAGACCATGATTACTTACTAAGAAAAAGTTGCTTAGGTTTCGAACAATACTGTATGTTAATTTAATAAAAAAAACATGTTGGATATTGCTGTATCCAGTGACCCTTAAATTAATAATGAAAATTTCCAAATATATGCACACAATACAGAAACGTATCCTTGGTATAATATGCCTACCACTTTCCACAAGTTTTTTACTCGCGGACCCGAAATTGTGTCAAATGCCCTTTTACCTATTTGACATTTATCAGAAGTTGCTGATACTGATAATGATGATGATAACGGTAATGAAGATGATAATGATGTGGATGTATAAAATGCAATGTTTAAGTTCGCATATTGTACTCCTTGCACTATATACCTACACTAATATTTTGCATTACTAAATAAAATTATACTCAAATATACTTAGAAAACATTTTTTTAACTTATTTTAATGGTATTTACTGAAAAATAAAGAAAAATTATCCTAACATAGCTTCCCTTATTTGATCCAAGAAAACACCCACTGTGCGTCGAGTTACCGTGCTACATTAGATCGCACCATTGCTGCTACATTAAGACGGGTGCGAACCTTGGCTGCCACAAGGTAATGGTCCGACTCGATATTCGATTCTTGGATCGATCCAACAACAATATTAATTTGATTTCTCGTTTCTTGAACGGGAGAAATCCAGCTGGTCTTGTATATATCGAGGTGCTTGCATCTGGTGCTGCTAACTAACATGGTTTTTGATATCGCGTTTCCGCTGTTAGATGTTTCTTCATGGAGGCTGAATTTTCCGACACTGAGGCAAAAAAAATTTTCCCTTCCGATTTTTGCATTAAAATCTCCTAGCAAAATTTTAATGTCATGGCCAGGGCAGCAAGTTATATGCTCGTAAAATATGTCTTTGGTCTGTTCATCGTTGTCTTCCGTCGGAGCATGAGTGCAAATAAGACTGATGTAGAAGAACTTCGTTTTTTACGGATTATACCAATTCGCTCATCTGGAGACGAGGTAAATCCGCAGCCAAATGCATATGTCGTTTCGGTAAAGCGAAAACTGCGCCTGTTCTGTACAACATGTGCAGATTCGCAGACCGTGGTCCTTTATACGTTTGTGGGGGTCGTCAACTTTTGGGAGGTTTGGTTTACTTTGTCGTTGCTTTTTCAGAGTAGGTGAGGTTTTCCTAGTGTGAGCAACTAACCCGACGCCTCAACTCAATTATTTATAGTTCTTATGGTTGGACTCGCGGCACATATCGGCTCACTATTTCAACGGATTGATGAAAGTAGCTACCCCAGGCGACACCGCGGGGAGGTCAGTCTCCACAATTGAGATGAAAGAGGGACCAAGACAAACCTGGGTTTTGCCATGTTAAAGGCAATCAGAGCCGTGGCTTGGTATCTATCATCCCCTACATCACCCTCCTGGTTATGCTATAACATTTAATTGCATCCTCTATCTCCCGGTTATGTCTTGTATCTACTCTTTTCAGTTACTCGTGATTGGCACAAGGGTCTTCGAGTGTAAAAACCACTAAATAATTAGATGTTTTAATTTTAAAAGGGTTCAATAATTTTCTAATCGAATCGTAGGTAATTTCACGAATCTTCGTGAAAGAATTAGTCATATATATCAAAATTGTATCTTAGGGGGGTTTCCATGTTTACAACTCAATTAAACACATTTTAAAGGTTTAAAATTGAGGAGGCACTACATTTACCCTTTTATTTGCCTATCAATTAACCCGACAAATCGAATAAACCTCCGCACAAACACCCTGCCTCTTATTCACATGTAACAATTATCTTTTGGGCGATATAGAATAAAGATGTTAATGGTGTTGATTCTGTCGATACCCATCACAGATATTACTCAGGCAAGTGAAATTTTTGTGTGTCACCGCCCGAAGTGTTGAAATGCCTTAAATTGTTTGGTTACTTTTTCTTTTGTTTCTTTTTTCGTTTTTTTTTTTTTTTTTTTTTTGGGAAAATATTGATTCTTTCCCCCATTGAAGAAATATGAACGATTTTCTATTTACACAACAAATAGTAACAGCAGCAACAACAACTCCAATAGCCAACGTTAAAAAGTAAAAACTAGTTCCACAAAAAATGATGATGGCCTAAAAGTTACTTCCAAAAAGTCAAACGGAACGAGGCAGCGAAATAACAAAAAAAACTTAATAATGATGTTTAAAAAATACATAGAGGGAGCAGTGGGAGGTGTCAACAAGTGCAGATATCTCTGCAAGACGACACATTTTCATATAAAAACATTTCACAATTTTGGTTATCAATCCATAGAATTCCGATACTCGAAACTCTTAACAAGACTTTTTGAAAATCGAACAAAGAAACCATTTTAGATTCAGTTATTTTGTGTGTGTCCGTTTCGTGAAGAACAGCATCAGTGACAATAAATAAAAATAGAAATAGAAAAAAAAAACGAATGAAAAAGGAAACCACATTATTAACAAATTGTTAAAGTGCCAGAAAAAGAATACGAACGAACTGAGAGTGAAAAAAAGTGTTTTTGTTGCTATTGGTGTTCAAAACAAGAGGATTTTCTAACCAGACAAACTCTTCAACCCAAACAGTTCCATTAAAGGACTTAGTGACAACAAGGTCAAAGTTCAACAAGATGTGGCGCCTTGCAGCTATTTTAATGGTATTTCTCTTCTTTTTTCTAAAGTATTTATCATCGAGATTATTTATGCTTTGGGGCCTATTTGATGATTTAAAAAAAAAACAACAAATGAAATGCAAAAATATTTTTTTATTGTTTTTGTAGCAAATGCAAAAATTCTGAATTCAGTATAAAACGTGCTATAAAATGTTCTTTTTATGCGTTGGCGCCCAAATTTGGTGTTCATTAAGGACAATGGATGTACAGTCCCACACTATTTTGTTAGCAAATAGAATACACCATAATTTTAACAAAATTATTCCTTAAAAATCCATACCGTTTGTAGACTACAAAAAATTAAAAATCCACATTTTTTTAAACTTCAAAAAATTATTCTTAAAAAATCCACGCCTCAAAAAATTATTCTTTAAAAATCCAGGACTATTGTAGATTTAAAAAAGTTATTCTTAAAAAATTCAGCCCTATTGTAGACCTCAAAAAATTATTCTTTAAAAATCCACCCCTATTGTAGACCTAAATAATATTCTCTAAAAATCCGCCCCTATTGTAGACCTTAAAAAATTATTCTTTAAATCCAGGCCTATTGTAGACTTTAAAAAAATATTCTTTAAAAATCCACGCTTATTGTAGACCTCAAAAAAATATTATTTAAAAGTCCACGCCTATTGTAGACCTCAAAAGAAATTATTCTTTAAAAATCCACGCCTTAAGGGGCACTCTTAGGCATTGAAGAAATTATTCTTTAAAAATCCACCCCTATTGTAGACCTCAAAACATTATTCTTTAAAAATCCTCCCCTATTGTAGACTTAAAAAAATATTCTTTAAAAGTCCACCCCTATTGTAGACTTAAAAAAATATTCTTTAAAAGTCCAGGCCTATTGTAGACCTCAAAAAGTCCACGCCTATTATGGACCTATTTTAAACATCAAAAAATATTCTTTAAAAGTCCACGCCTATTATGGTCTTTAAAAGTCCACGCCTATTGTAGACCTCAGAAAAAATATTCTTTAAAAGTCCACGCCTATTGTAGACCTCAGAAAAAATATTCTTTAAAAGTCCACGCCTATTGTAGACCTCAAAAAAATTATTCTTTAAAAATCCACGCCTATTATGGACCTATTTTAGACATCAAAAAAATTATTCTTTAAAAATCTACGCCTATTATGGACCTATTTTAGACATCAAAAAAATTATTCTTTAAAAATCTACGCCTATTATGGACCTATTTTAGACATCAAAAAAATTATTCTTTAAAAATTAACGCCTATTGTAAACCTCAAAAAAAGTATTGTTTAAAATCCACTTCTATTGCAGACCTCAAAAAAATTTTGTTTAAAATTCCAGGTCTATTGTAGACTCGAAATGAATATTCTAAATCCACGCCTATTGGCAATGTATTTTATAAAAAATCAATACCTACTGAACATTATTCATCCTTATGTTCCAATCAATACTGTTCAAAATAATAATCCACAAACCTACCTTACATCCTTTTTAGCTTTTTTCGTTTAACCTATCCCTGGGCGCAGTGCACCCCGCACGTCGACCTTTTAACCCAAGACAATCCCTAATTCAAGCACGCGAAACCAGCACTTGCGAAGGACGCCAATCGCCAGGACCCATATGTGAATCGTGTGATCTTCTGGCCACCTGCGTTAAACATTCCACCGGCTGGGTCAACATACCCGTTGAGACATGTGATACCCAGAATGGTTTCTATTGTAATTCCGTGCTGGGTAAGTGTAGCAATGAAACCGGACCCTGTCACCCAATTAGTGCCGAAGGTAATTTCCCCTGTACATCGCATGGCGTATTTCCCGATCCGTACGATTGTCAGAAATATCATATGTGCTATTTTGTTGGACCCACTTTGGTATCGGCCAGTGTTAATTGTGGCGGTTATAAGGCCTTCAATCCAGCCACGGGCCAATGTTCGCTGACACTGCAACATTCGGTTTGTCAACAACAACAATTTGTTTGTGATAATGCTGGCGATGCTCACGCCTGGCCCATGAGCCCCAATATTTTCTATATTTGTAAAGCCAGTACCAATCAGGATGAGCGTATCCTCTATCCATCGTTGTATCGCTGTGATGATGGTGAAGTATTTGATGGGTATAATTGTCGTTCCGTTGCACCAGGCGAACAGATGCCACCATCCTTGGAAATAGTTAATAAACCTGTTGACCCGGCATTAACCCCAGCACCATCTAACCCCGGACAAGATGTAATAAAACCTAAAGTATGTTCGGAAATTGGTTTATTTGCCGATACTGAGGATTGTCGCAGATATTATTATTGTTCGGCTATCAGTGGAAGTTTGAGACAAATGGAATGTCCCGCCGGAACTGTATTCAATGAGGCGCTATCCTCCTGCACTTTGGGCGAATGTTAAGCAAATAATTATAATGAAAATAAAAATGTACTTTTATTTTGGATATATTTGTAAAAAAACTAATAATAATAAAGATTGAGCTTTTACTACATATTATGCCTTCTTGATTACTAGATTTAAAAATATTCTTTGTAAATCCACACCTAGAGATCAAAAAATTATTCTTAATAATACACACCTATTATAGACCTCAAAAAGTATTCTTTAACCAGTAAGGAAAGTAGTAAAGTCGGACGGGGCCGACTATATGATACCCTTCACCACTATGGGTATATTAAACAGCACTATTAACATGAAATTGGATGAAATAAAATATGTGATATTTACCTAAATGTGAATCTACCTAGATCTATCCATAAACATGTCATTCGTTTGTTACAATGGGACAAAAGTATGTAAATCGACTTCAAACAAATATAAATAGGTCATCCTTGGGCTATATCTGTACTTCTAGAAAACGCGACTACGTAATTCTATGCTCAATTTTGTAAGTTGTGCAAAATTTGATGTCAATCTGACTAACATGAGCAGTTTGATGCCCAATTTACTTGAAATCGGGCGAAAATATATATGGAAGCTTTATCCAAATATTAAGCGATTTCAAACAACCTTGTCACAGGTTAGTTTATACTAATTTCAGAACGTTTTGTTCCTATTGGTTCCTTGGTGCGTCAATTACTTAAAATCAATATATAATAAAAGGGAGCTATATCTAAATCTAGGCCGATTTTCACGAAACAAGCAGACATCACTCTAGGCTCAATTCAGTACGTTATGCCAAATTTCGTGCAAATCGAAAGATAAATAGCGACTTTGGTGCACCATTTACATGAAATCGGACGAAACTATATGTGGGAGCTATATAGAAATCTGGACCGATTTTCTCGAAACCTGGCAGACATCACTCTAGGCTCAATTCAGTACGTTATGCCAAATTTCCTGCAAATCGAAGGATATATAGGGACATTGGGGACACCATTTACATGAAATCGGACGAAACTATATATGGGAGCTATATCTAAATCTTGACCGATTTTCACGAAACTTGGCATCATTCTAGACCTAAATGATGAGGCTGTACCAAATTTCGTGCAAATCGAAAGATATATAGGGACCGTTTACACTAAATCGGTTAAATATATATATGGGAGCTATATCTAAATCTGAACCGATTTTTCCCAATTTCAATAGGGTTCGTCCTTGGGCCAAACAAATGAGCTGTGCAAATTTCATCCAATTCGGATCATAAATGCGACCTGTACTTTGCTCACAAAAATACATGGACAGACAGACGGACGGACGGGCAGACGGACGGACATGCATAAATCGACTTAGAAAGTGATTCTATGCATATTCTCAAAAGGAACCACGTGTCTATCTCGTTTCCTTTTGCCTGTTACAAACATATGCACAAAGACATAATACCCTGTACCACAGTGTGGTGAAGGGTATAAAAATCCACGCCTATTGTATACCTCAAAAAATTATTCTTAATAAAACTATTGTAGACCTAAAAAAACTATTCTATAAAAATCCAAGCCTATTGTTGACCTCAAAAAAAGCTATTCTTTAAAAATCCACGCCTATTGTAAACCTCAAAAATTATTCTTAAAAAATCCACGCTTATTGTAGACCTAATTTTTTTTTTAAATCCACACCTATGGTAGACCTTAAAAAGTTATTCTTTAAAAATCCATTCTTTAATTGTAGACCTCAAAAAATATTCTGTAAAAACCTACGCCAAGTGTAGACCTAAAAAATCATTCTTTTAAAATCCATACTCATTGTAGGCCTCACAACAATTATTCTTTAATAATCCAAGCATTTTTAGGCCTCAATTTTTTCTTTAAAAATCCACGCCTATTGTAGACCTCAAAAAATTATTCTTGAAAAATCCAAGCCTATTGTAGACCTCAAAAAATTATTCTTGAAAAATTCACGCCTATTGTAGACCTCAAAAAATTTATTCTTTAAAAGTCCACGTCTATTGAAGACCTCAAAAATTTATTCTTTAAAAATTCAAATCCGAAATATTATTTAAAAATTCACGCCTATTATACTAGATAGACTTCGAAAAAATAATCATTAAAAATCCACGAACTATAATACTAGTCTAATATCTAGGATTTTGTACCTCTATTTAGAAATCGCGTCGACTTAGAAGGCATAGTCTAAACGCAATATTTAGCTCCGATTTTTGTGTCAGATTCTTTTTTGATTTGGGAATGATCCGCTAAAAACGAGAACTGGTTATGCTATATACCATATTTGTCATATAGAACCACTATAATAACATTTTACAGGGTATGACTGTTGCTGTTGTTAAAATTTCGCACGATAGCCATTATTATCGAAACGCTCTTCGTTATCTTTTGCCCTCTTCGCAAAAAGAATATTTGCCAAATTCATTTTAATTAAATGAAAACGATTTGTTTCGATAATAATCTCCGAACTTTTAACAAGAAAAATATATTTTATTAGAACAAAAACGCAACGACTATTCACCGATATAAAAATGGTATATATTAAATGGGATAAACAATAAAGCCAGTTGTTAGTAAGCGATTTGAGTTTCACGGACGAAAACATGAAGCTACTTCTAATAAATTTAACGGTAATGTGAACTGCTTTCATGTGGGAATAGTTTTCCAATACTAATTTTTAATTCTTAACATTTAGATATGCCTTGGATATACCCTGGCTATGTCAAATATGGCCATTGAGTATTCAAGCCTTGCCGATCCCTTTGCGGTAATGCAAAATCCCTGTGACGATATACGCAATGGACAATTTCTGTGCAAAGATTGCGCCACTCTAGCGTTCTGCTATCAAGAAGACGGCAACTGGAACACAATGCAGATCGCCAGCTGTGATACCGGTCGCGGTATGTATTGTGACGAAGATGTACGTGGTTGTGTTTACAAGAAAGAATGTGTCAGTCGTGGACCAAAGTTCGAGTGTCAAAATGCGGGTAAATTTCCCGATCCATACGATTGTAAACAGTATCATGTGTGCAGTGCAAATAAGGAAGACGAGCGATTCATATGTCCATCGGGTACAGCCTATTCGCCAGCCACAAAATCGTGTACACTTACTGCGAGCAATGAGATATGTCGTAAGCCTCAGTACACATGTGACAATGTCTTAGATATGGGTGCATGGCCTACGGATCCAAATATCTACTATATTTGTTGGTACACAAACGTTGATGGAGAGGTTGTCCGTTATCCGATGTTGTATCGCTGTGAGGATGGTTATGAATTTATTGCAAATACTTGTGTACCGAAAAGTTCGAGCGGACAAGTGCCCGGATCAACTACACGGAAAGAAACCACTACAACAACGACAGTGGCTTCACCATTGGTATGTGACCAATCGACGAATCTGATGTATAACCCAAATGATTGTTATTCATATTATATTTGTAAAAATGGACAGCTAGAGAACAAAAAATGTCCATCGGGAACTTATTTCCAGGTTAATACCCTTATGTGTGTCGTTGGAAGTTGTTAAGTATATATGAATTAATAATTTTCAAATAAATTATCGATTATACAAAATTTTCACGTGACAGAAGGCGTGTTCAATTGTTACTAACCATCACTGTCCAAATGTCACGTCATCCAGAAAGCAAATTTAAAGACACATTTACTCTCAAAATTATTTGTTGAGGCGAAAAACGATTTTGGTAGTTCAATGTCTTCGTAAGTATAAATTTATTTTCCCCGGAACTTTAAATCAATGTCCAAATGTTCCTGTGCCCACAAAACTACTAAAACTTTCAACTAAATTTAAGATAACACAAACCAAACTGTCATAAAATGGCAATGGATAGCGTGATTACAAAAGAAAGACAGACATACGGACCGCCATGGGTAAATCATTCTAGAATTATACCCCGATTCGATTTGAATTCGATGTGCAGTATTACCTACCATGTGAAATATTATAAAGAAAAATTTGACAGAAAAATCGAGAACACAAAATTTGAAAGGTTTTTGTTTTGATTTTCAATTTCAATTTATTATTGCATCATGGTTATACCATGGTATAGCCCCATGGTACAATGAATAGGTAGTCCATTAAGCGCAGCTGATGTCTTGATTAACTGTCAAAGTTGATAATTTCTACTTGAATTCGATGTGCAGTGTTGAAAACCATTTGAAATATTGTATGAAAAAATTTGACAGATAATCGAGACAAAAACAAAGGTTTTTGTTGGTATACATCACCTTATTATTGCATCATGGCACGATGAATAGGTAGTCTATTTAGCGCCGCTGATGTCTCGATTAACTGTCAAAGTGGATAATTTCTACTTGAATTTGATGTGCAGTGTTGCCAACCATTTGAAATATTATAAGGAAAAATTTGACAGATGGTCGAGACCAAAATAAAGGTTTTTATGTTGACACATCACCTTATTATTGCATTTCACATGGTTGCGTAATTTCTGATTGAATTCGATGAACATCGCAATTTGACAGTTAATCAAGGCATCAGCCCCTCTAAATGGACTACCTATTCATTGTGCCATGGCATAGCCCATGCGTAATTAATGTCATGTTTACATCATGTATAATTTATTTTTTTAACGTTTTATCAAAGACATAGAAACCGTAAAGACTCGACAAAATGCATTTTGACAAAATAGTTTATGAAAAAATATCCAGGGGAATCAGGCATAACAGAGACATGTTAACAATAAAAACGCAAATACGCGATAAAGTGTCTATAAAATGTAAATAAAATTAGAGATCTGTATTCAAAAAATGTGTTTTTATTTTATAAGCTTGCGATATAGCGTTTAAAACGTTTAATATTGTTTGCTCTGTTGTTATGATATCGTAACAACAGAGGAAAAGCCATCTATTGGAAATTGTGGACGTATCGATTGTCCTATCTTTATACTTTTATGCCTTTGGTTTTATAAAGGTAAGGTCACACTAGGAAACTATTTGACTCAAATGTCTTTTATTTTGTTTGCCCAAAAAACGTCAAATTTGTGTACTCCTGATTTTGTGTTCACATTGCTCTCAAATATTTGACAAATTTTTGACGTGTGTTTACATGTGGAAATTTATTTGCACCAATAAAAGTTTATCAAACGCTCAGAAATCACAAATATATTTGCCTGAGAATATTGAGAGAAGTTTTGACCAACTTCGATTATTTTTCTGTTCCTGTTTTTATTTAATGATTTTTATACCCTCCATCATAGTATGGAGGGCATATTAATTTTGTCATTCCGTTTGTAACTCATCGAAATAGTCATTTCCGACCCTATAAAGTATATATATTCTTGATCAGGGTAAAATTCTAAGACGATCTAGCCATGTCCGTCCGTCTGTTGTAATCACGCTATCTTCTGAAGGAATTGAGATAGGGTGTCTTTTGTCTGCAGGCAGGTCAAGTTCGAAGATGGGATATATCGGTCCACGTTTAGGCATAGCTGCCATTTCAACCGAATACGCTGAAATTTGGTACAATGAGTTCTTATTGGGTATTGAAAATGCGATTGAAAATATTTTGTGGTCAGATTATGACAAAAGAATATTTGACACTTTTCGTCAAATATTTGCCTAATGTGACCTTGCCCTAACACTATAAATCCAAAAATAGCTAACATTTCAATAAAAAAAAACCTTAAGTATATTCCAGAAGAGATTTCCTCATTCCTCACTCATTCAAACCTGAAGCAACTCTATAATGAGTGAAGAAACTCCATTTATGAAAAATTGGAATCTGAAGTATACTGAAAAAAAGTTTTTAATTATTTCCAACATTAAAAAAGTTATTAAATTTCTCTTAATTCTTCCATTTTCAAATGCTTCTGCAAGTAGGATATTTAGATCTTTAAAAATTTGCACATCAGATTTAAGAATCAAAATGACTTCAGAAACTGTTGCTGCAAATTTATTTACAAAAGAAGGCATACGTAGGAATGGAATGAACCCACACAAGATATGTACAATAGAAATTGGAAGAACTAATATATTTTTTTTGGAATTATATTTTTAGTTATATAAACTTGCTTTTGTCCTATATAGTATTTATTAACAAAATACAAAAATGTTGATACATGTGTAATTTTTCCCCAAATGTGTAATTTTTGTATCCTCCATATGTAATTTGTAGCTCCATTGGTGGCAACACTGGTGTATTTAAAAAACCAGTAAGGAAAGTCGTAAAGTCGGACTGGTCCGACTATATGATGCCCTTCGCCACTTTGGGTGTATTCCTCATATTTATCCTAACAGATGTCGCCTTTTCGAAGGAACATTGAACGATCTTAAATATGTGATCTTTATCTATATGCAAACCGACTTACATCAATCCCTACACATGTCATTCTGCAACCTATTTTGTAAATATATTTTAAACAAACTTTACATATGCTATTTGGTATGCTTCACTGTTTAACATGTAATATCAATCAAGCACCCATTGATTATTTGGTGTACAATCAACATGAACAGGTCGAAATTATATATGAATGCTATGCTATATCTAAATCTGAACTTATTTCAAGGAAACTTGCCCGAAATTAATTTATATTAATTTCAGTACGTTTTGCCAATTGGCCTAGCTATGGGTCTTTAGTACACCATTTACTTAAAACGGACAAAAGTACATATAGGAGCTATATGTAAATCTGAATCAATTTCAAGAAAACTTGACACACACAAGGTTATAGTAACTTCAGTACATTGTACAAAATTGTTTGCGGGTCGGCCAATCTTTGGTTCTTTAGTGCACATTTTACATTAAATCGGACGAAAATATATATTGGAGCTATATCTATATCTGAACCGATTTTCACGACTTTGGAGACTCATTTACCTTAAATCGGACAAAACTATATATGGGTGCTATATCTAAATCTGAACCGATTTTCACGAAACTTGGCACACATCATTCTGCACCCAATTCAGTACTCTACGCCAAATGTCATGCAAATCGAATGATATATAGGGACCATGGTGCACCATTTACCTTAAATCGGACGAAACTATATATGGGAGCTATATCTAAATCTGAACCAATTTTCTCGAAACTTGGCACACATCATTCTGCACCCAATTCAGTACTCTACGCCAAATTTCATGCAAATCGAATGATATATAGGGACTTTGGTGCACCATTTACCTTAAATCGGACGAAACTATATATGGGAGCTATATCTAAATCTTGACCGATTTTCACGAAACTTGGCAGACATCATTCTAGACCTAAATGATTAGGCTGTACCAAATTTCGTGCAAATCGAAAGATATATAGGGACCGTTTACACTAAATCGGTTAAATATATATATGGGAGCTATATCTAAATCTGAACCGATTTTTCCCAATTTCAATAGGGTTCGTCCTTGGGCCAAACAAATGAGCTGTGCCAAATTTCATCCAATTCGGATCATAAATGCGACCTGTACTTTGCTCACAAAAATACATGGACAGACGGACGGGCGGACGGACATGCATAAATCGACTTAGAAAGTGATTCTATGCATATTCTCAAAAGGAACCACGTGTCTATCTCGTTTCCTTTTGCCTGTTACAAACATATGCACAAAGACATAATACCCTGTACCACAGTGTGGTGAAGGGTATAAAAATCCACGCCTATTGTATACCTCAAAAAATTATTCTTAATAAAACTATTGTAGACCTAAAAAAAACTATTCTATAAAAATCCAAGCCTATTGTTGACCTCAAAAAAAAAATATTCTATAAAAATCCACGCCTATTGTAGACCTCAAAAAAACTATTCTTTTAAAAACCACGCCTATTGTAGACCTCAAAAGGTTTTTTTTTAATTCCACGCCTATGGTAGACCTTAAAAAGTTATTCTTTAAAAATCCATTCTTTAATTGTAGACCTCAAAAAATATTCTGTAAAAACCTACGCCTAGTGTAGACCTAAAAAATCATTCTTTTAAAATCCATACTCATTGTAGGCCTCACAACAATTATTATTTAATAATCCAAGCATTTTTAGGCCTCAAAAATTTTTTCTTTAAAAATCCACGCCTATTGTAGACCTCAAAAAATTATTCTTGAAAAATCCAAGCCTATTGTAGACCTCAAAAAATTATTCTTGAAAAATTCACGCCTATTGTAGACCTCAAAAAATTTATTCTTTAAAAGTCCACGTCTATTGAAGACCTCAAAAATTTATTCTTTAAAAATTCAAATCCGAAATATTATTTAAAAATCCACGCCTATTATAGACTAGATAGGCTTCGAAAAAATAATCATTAAACATCCACGAACTATATACTAGTCAAATCCACGCCTATTGTAGACCTCAAAAAACTATTCTTTAAAAATCCACGCCTATTGTAGACCTCAAAAATTATTCTTAAAAAATCCACGCTTATTGTAGACCTAAATTTTTTTTTTAAATCCACACCTATGGTAGACCTTAAAAAGTTATTCTTTAAAAATCCATTCTTTAATTGTAGACCTCTAAAAATATTCTGTAAAAACCTACGCCTAGTGTAGACCTAAAAA